AAAAGCTAAAGTTATTACACACGTGGACTTGAACGTCAATAGGCACGCGACATGTGACTTAAAAATCTCCTCTCCTGTTTCAGTTTCTTTATTGAGAACTGTGCGATAATAATAATAAACAATCAAATTACAGACTAATGAATGTTTTGTTCTGTACAAAAGCCATATTTGCTGATTTTAGTAAATTTCCACAGTAATAAACGACATAAGAAAGAAACGCTACGATTTTCCCATCGACTTTTCGCCTACATGCATCTCTCTAAACGTGAAATTTCCCATTCCTACGAAAAATCTCGAAAGTTTTTCGCATTTTTCAGCTTTCTTGATCAATCATCTTGTATGAAGAGCTAAAAAATGTAGGATTATTTGGTCAAGTGACCGGCCAGAGCCAGAATTGCGTGACAGGTGTAGTTTAGAGAAACTTGTCACAATCGCAGATTTTAAAAGGCATCTAAGACAAAAATACGGTAGTTCCCAAAGATTTTTTTGATGGTCTTCAGAAATGAAATGATGGATTACATGGATTATAAAGGGGAATTAAGATTAGTGTTGTAGCTTTTTGGCAAGGGGAGATATTTGACCTCAAAGTTGTCAAATATTTGGATGAATCGAAAAGTCTAAAAACAAAGTTGTTTATTTACCTCTGTTGATTGAGAAGACGCCAATCAAATTGACTGATACTTACGTCGAACATTTACTAAGGATGTAATGATATGTGGGCAAACCCTAAAAGTAATTGGTTAAATACCATCGCAGTGAGAGCTTCATAAATTTAACTATTTTGAGGCGATTTTCTTGGTGAAAACCAATAAAAACCGGGGGGGATGGTCTATCTCCCCCCGGAAAAAAAAACAAAACAGAAACCACTTTGTCTTTTTTAGTTTTGAATAGACCCTTTAAACTGGCAAAGTTTCATTGAAATCGGTGAGATGGCATGTAACACGACTGCCCGGCGCACACACTCTTCTTAAGTAACAATGTTTATATAAACTGCCTTCATGTGGCAAGTTTGTTATCGGCTTCAGTTCCCAAGATGAGTTCGGTGTAACTGGAATGTTTTTGAAAATTTTTTAGGAGTTATTTTTAATTATTATTCTTATAATTTTAGCTTTTTTTCTTTGAATTGAGCCCCGTATATGTATGCTTTACCACTGGGCTATAAAGAACTCGAACTCTATCTCGGAGAGCTAGGAAATTTCTAGCTCTTGCGTGAAGAGCGCTCTGCGTAATTCCAAATGAGTAATTTCTGACGCGGCGATTGAATTATGAAATAAGAAAAACAGTTATTTCGTTTTGGTCAACATTTATTAGCTTACGCATTACTTTCGACATTACTCCTATAATGACTGAGGTTTACAAAAGGTTTGCAAAGGACCATCGTCATTATAATTATGTTTATCAGTGGCTGACACTCGCTCGCCACATTTGGTATCGTAGAATATGGGTGCTTAGTATAAATGTAGAACTTAGTTTTACTGCAAATTAAATCAGTTTTCAAACGTTATCATTTTAAACGACTGATAGTTTACAGCTAAAAACTAGATAACAAGTAGATTCAAAATCCCAAAAAGGAACTCAGACTAAATAGTTTAATTATCACACTCGCCATCTTTTAAGGCCAAACGGCGGAAGACGGCCCTAAAAGAGGCCCGGTTCACACACTTCACTTCGGTATACTCCGGCCACTACGAGTAAGAATATCATAGACACTCTCCAAAACACTTACCAAAATTATTTGTTAAATTGAACGGAATTCAATGTTATTCTCAAACACATTTATAGAATTCATCTAACCTAGCTAAGGATAATTAGGAAAAAAAGAGATAAAAGGAAAAAATCAGACACGCTTAGTGTCCTCTGCACTGAAAATTGTGCTAATATGAATCTTCATCAGTTTATATTGCTGAGTTTTTCGGTTTGTACTGGACTGATAGCATCGTCGCTGTCGAGGGCCCCCACCAATTAGAGATTGTATTGGCATCTTGCAGATTGTTTATGTTGGACCGCCTGTGTAGTTTTCCGTCCGGCTTCACTTGGAACAAAGGATAGTTGTTTTTCTCTTCATCGTCAACCAGTGGGATAATATCGGTAACCTCAGCGGTGTCGATAACTTTATTAGGGTCTTGGTAGGCTTCATACACTTGGTTGACTGATTTCTGAGTAGCCTCGACGACATATTTGAAATTGTCTTCGCTTTTATGAAGCATTCCATCACCATAAGCAATCCACTTGTCTCCTCTGACATTAGTTACTCGCAGGCCAAACTGTCCGTCTTCATCATGCATACACTTACTCAGGTAATGACCATCTACATGGAGATTTGTTGCTTTTCCTAATTCTGCTCTTGGTGTCCTGTGATGAAAAGAATCTTACTCATTGAAAATGATAGTTGTGGAATATGGAAAAATGGGTTTCTAGAAAAAGCTTCCGTGTGCAAAAACTCTCCTTGCCAATTTTGGAAAAAGGAGACTCGTCATGAACCAAATTTCCCGGGCACTGAAGCGATAGGCTCCCCCAAATATCTCCTTCTCTTCTCCGTTAGGGAATTTCTTTCTTTTCTTTCCTCCAACCCTACCCCTTGAAATAAAATAAAAAACAAAACAATGAATTTCAGAATGGGGGTTCTCTGTTGACGCTTGACTCTTGCTGATCTTGTCGCTGAATGTTGAGAGAATTTAGTACGAACAGAACAGCATGATTGTCCTTTGGAATGGACACGATACCTAATGATCAATAATCCTTGAT